GGACAACATCCACTCATGTCCAGCCCAGCCCATGTGGACATGGAGCCAATAAGTTTCATGTTTCCACTATCTAAACCCTCACTTGTTCACTGGGGATATTGAGGCACAGAGAGGGACAGGAAGTGATAAGAATTGAAATCTGAGGGAGCTCTGGTGGCCTAATGGCAAGAAGCTGCACTGCAATCCCAAAGGTACGTGGTTCAAATCCACCAGATGCTCTGCTGGAGAAGGAGGGGGCGATCTCCTCCTGTACCAGTCAGATCTGATTTGACGGTACACGTAAAATAATACAATAAAAATTAAAAAAAAAGAATTGAAATCTGGGGCTCTTTCTGCTTTTGTCCATAGTCAGAAAAGGAAGGTGGGTTCAAGAAAATGGAGGGGAGAAGGAGAAAGGGTAGAAAGGGGGGACAGAATGGGGTGAGGAGACGGAAGAGCAGCACCACTGATTTGTGGTGCTCAGTCCTGTTCAAATTCCTCCCATAGTCCCCGAAACGTGCCTTGTCATTTTCACACCCTTTCCTCTTCTCCCCGCTCTCCCACTTCCGTTCCCCTTTCTCCTTTCTGTCTTTTATTCTAACCGAGGAAAAGCCACATGTCAAGCAATCCATTTTAAAGTGCACGTGCCATTCACAACAATGCACCCTCCCCACTGCCGGCTCCCAAATAGATCTGTCACCCAGAAGAAAGCCTTTGTTGCTGAGTGCTTCTGAGCTGACACCGACTCCCAGTGACCTTCGTGACCGAGTAGAACTGCCCCTCAGCTAAGGGGATTTCTGGGCTGTACGCTGTGGGAGCAGGACCAGGTCTTTCCCCCTCAGAGCTACGAGGTGGGTGCATGCCACCCACCTTTCATTCCTGTTAGCAGCCAACAAGTACTGAACTGGTGCACTACCAAGGTTCCTTCAGGAGTCTTTAAGATATCTCTTCTTTTATTCACACAATGGAATACTACGCTGCATTGCAAAACAAGGAACTCATACAATATTATTCAAAATGGGTGACCCTGGAGGGCATTATGCTGAGTGAAGTATCTCAGTCACAAAAGGACAAATACTGCATGGTGCCACTGTTGTAAAACAGAACTGACATCAGGGTTGGGGAAAGACTGAGAAAGATGGGTTCAATAATGTATACTGCATTGAAACAGATGAGGGAGAAAACTGTTTAAAAGAGATGTGATTAGGAATTTTTGTCATGATGGGAGTCCAAAGGAAGGGCTGCATAGTGGAGTAGACCTGGGGGAAGGGATTGTAAAACGATAAAAGAATTTTTCTTTTAGTTTTCCAAGAGGGTAGTGTACTAGGGAGGAGGGTTGGGAGGGCAGAAAAGTGCAACAATGAGTGAGTGGAAATCCAAAGTCTCTGTAAATTTTCATTGAAATTAATAATATGTTTTTTAAAAAGATATATCTTATTTTGAGTTAAAATCTAGCCTGGGTTCATGCATTGCAGTTCATTGCTACTTCTTTTTAGTGTAGAACAGTAATGAGACTATTTTCCACAGCATTGACTTTCTAAAGTACCAAGGTCATTGTCTTATAAAATGTTCTCACTCTTAATTTGTTGGATGTTTCCCTGTTAAGTCATTTAATCTGTTCCTCTATTTCATGTATTTCCTGTAAACTGGGAGGAAGATGTAAAGGCTCGATTAGATGCAGGCTTGGCATTCTTGGCAATGTGACTACTTCTTGGCTCACGCTGCTTCGTGTCAGGGCGCGCATACAGCTTCGCGGGCCTGCAGGACGGCAGACCTCTGAGCCTCGCTGCCATACAGAGCTGTGATTTCCTTGCGATTTGCAAGTAACCGGTGGGGTGAAGTGCTGACATTCTGCAACAGGCAGACAGGCAAGATTTTTGACAGAGGGAAAACCCTAAGCAACGTGGGAAACGGGCTGGTGCCATTGATGATAATGCAGGCATTCCTGCCTGGAGCCTTCCCTGGGAACCTTTGGAAGGACTTTCCCAGCCCCAGAAGCAAAACAGAAACCCTCAGCTCTGCAGCAGGGTTTCTGTAAAACCCTCAGCTCTGCAGTAGGGTTTCTGTAAAACCCTCAGCTCTGCAGCAGGGTTTCTGTAGCAGCAGATACATCCTGCATCTCAGGATGACGGAGGGAGTAGGGGGACAGTCTCACTTACCTCCCCTGGCACCCCACCTAAATCTTCTGATCAACTTAATTTTGCTGGACAACGAGGAGGACTGTCTGCTTGTTCTCTGATACTTCCTTTGTGCGTACACATGACCGTACTTTCTGTATAACATCAGACTTGTACAACCATGCACACCAACATGGACTGTTACTCACACAGAAAGAAACTGAAGTTCAGAGGGGCAAAGAGATCTGCTGTGGATACCTAGCCAGTGGGGGGTGGCTCCTCAGGCACCCTTCCTGGTGCTTCTTTGGCTGTTGGACAAGCGTCTTGGAGGTCAAGAACTACTGCCCTGGAAACTGTGGTGGGAGGGCCAGATCTGAGGGGGGAAAAAGCCACTGGTGCCAAGATGTCTTTTTAATGGCTGTTTACACTGAGAAAGTAGTGCACGCACTCAAAGGCAGGGAGGGTTTTGCTTTGTTGTTTAAAGAGTGTGAAGTTGTTTAAGAATTCCAGGAAAAGCAGAGAATTAGGAAGTTCAGGGAGTCTGGGGGAGCTCAGCACCAGGCCCAGGCATTCCTCATGCCTACCTCCTGCTGGACACACAGCTTGGATTTCCCAGCATCCCTTGAAGTCAGGTGATTCCATGTCATCACGTTCTGCCAATGGCACGTGGGCTTAAGTGGTGAACACCTGGTCTGGCATAGAAAACTGCCATAGCCTTCCATTCTCTTCTGTCTGCTGGACGAACAGATCTGAGCTGAGACCCTAGAGAAGGACAGAGTCATAACAGAGAAGGAGCCTGGGTCCCTGATGGACCACATGAGAGGTCACCAAGAATATCTGCTCAGACTTTGCATGAGAAGAAGTAAACTTGCACTGTGTCAAGTCTCTGAAATGTTGGAGTTGTTTGCTTGTAGGAAGTAGCCTTTCTGGACTAATTATGTTATCATTCTTCCCCAATGTCCATCCTTTAAAAGGGACGATTGAGGCGAGGTTATTAAGTGAGTAATGAGTGGATACATGAGTATCTGCTTAAAGCTCTAGACGGAAATACCATCAGATTCTCACAACTCTCCCGGGGTAGAGCAAGCCTGGTAGGTGGGAACTCAGGGATGAACACTCGAGCTTCCTGTTAGCGCCTGAGCTTCCTGTTACCTCATAGGTCTTTGTGTCTGTCTGGCTCTGCCCTCCCCTCTGCCATCCAGGAGACTCTGGGAGAGCTACCTCAGGTCTCAGCATCAACGATTCCCCCCCTCAGAAGAGAGGGGACAATGGTGCCTAATCCTCTCCCCACCTCACAGGGACAACAAATTATGTCAAGCATCCAAAACAGAGACTGTTTTAGAGAATTTATTTTCCAGAAGGTCTGAGCGGCAAGGACAGGACAGAGCCTTGAAGAAGAAGAGAATCTGAGGACACAGAGTAGACACATGGCCCTGGGCTTCAAGGGTGCACAGAGCTTAACGGCTGGCCGAGTGTCATTCCCCATCCTTGGACCTCAGTTCATTCGTCAGGAGGCTCTGAGATGTTAAACGGTCTCCTCTGGGTCGTCCAGCTCTAATCTCCAAGCTGAGCTGCACATTTGAAGCTTCTTTCTTTCTTTTTTTTTTTTTTAAGCAAAGAAGCTTTTTTTTAAAAAAAAAAAAAACTTGTGTGTGTGTGTGTGTACCGTCAAATCAGATCTGACTAGTACAGGAGGAGATTGTCCCTCCTTCCCCGGCAGAGCATCTGGTGGATTCAAACCATGCACCTCTGGGATTGTAGTTGCAGCTCCTCGCCACTAGGCCACCAGAGCTCCCTACAAAGAAGCTTTTATTGGGGGCTCTTGGATGAGGTTCACTGTTTTAGGTGGGAAAGGGGCGGAAAGATTTAGAGAAGTCGCAGCTTATTTCCTTTAGTTGGGGACATGGCTGTACCGGAGGACGTGAAGGTTAAGTCCCAACTTCCAGCTTGACCCAAGACATTCTGAGACCCTCCCCCAGGGCTGTGTGTGTAACTCTACCTGTACACTCCCCCATGCAGCCAGCTGCTTCCCAGGGCCAGGAGAGCTCCCTCAGAGTTTCTTAAACCTCCCATTCACCCATTTACCCTCTTCTCAGATGCAAATATGACTACAGCTTGTAACACTAAGTCAAGAGTATTCATTCATAGGATTTGATTACTGGCTCTTCAGGGAAGAAAGGGGGGGGGAAGTGGACTGCGGGGTGCTCTAAAGCAACACCAGGCTTGGTGTTGGCCAGTGGACAGTTGATCTAGCTTGCTCTGACCTTGAGTCTGGATTTTTGAAGGATCACTCCTTCTATCAATTCATTCTGTAGTTCTAGCTCCGACTCTGATCACTGTGCTCCAGGCTAAAGGCCAAGAGGCACGAGCCATCCAGATGTAAACCTTGATGAATACCTGGAGACTAGTGGATAGCTGGAGCACAGGTCCCAGATCCTGAGGATTCTGGAAGATTGTCAGGGCCATTCATACAGGTCAAGGAAGTCTGGACTGCAAGCTAAGTGACGTGCTGCTTGCACCCAGCAATACTTTGGAGGGGGGCTGGTCGACTGGACATAGAAGGTGATGGCAAGGGCATCCTGGGTGCCAGCCACAAACCACACAAAGCTCCCAAAGTGGAAACGTGAGGCATAAGTTTGGAGAATAGTGAGTCCAACATGCATGAAGGGAAGAGGGTTGAGGCTGGAGACAGGGATGGGCCCAGAGGTGCTGAGTGCAGGAGCTCTGACTTCAAGCCTCAGCACTGAGCGTCCAAGGGAGGGTTTGAAGCAAGGGAGTGTCTGACCAGGATAGTGGGCTCTGTGGCTGCTGCAAAGCAGAGGCGAGGCGGGATGGCTTGGAGGGCACGCATGGAGGGGCAGGGTGGAGACTTGATTGGAAGTGGTGGCCGCAGGCATGGAGATTGGTGAACACAGAAACCTTGGCATTAAACTTGGATTTGGTGAGCAGCTGTCAATGGTGGGAAGGCTGGGTGCCATGAGCCATCCCGAAGGAGCCACAGCCGTGGTCTGATGGAACAAGACTCTCCTTATTTGCTCAGCTTTTGGAGAATCTTCTTCACCCAGGACAGCCTGGGGTCAGCACAGATCTCCCTGTCCTTGATGGTTTTCAGGCTGGAAAAGAGGTGGATAGCAAAGCAGCTTTAGCATGCAGCATAGATAGCACACATCCCCGGGAGCTTGGCATTTACAAATCACCTGCTGTGTGTAGGCTCCAACATTCATGAGTCACCTACTATATACAGTCATTGACTAAAGAGCAAACACTTTCCAATCCCTCAACTTCTTCCTTTGAGTGTCAGGTCAAGTCATGGAACAGAATTCCCCAAAGTCTAAAAACAGTCCTTGACATTGCTTAAGGAGAGAGTAATTGGTAGTGACCATGAGCAGGGACTTTGGAGGCAATCTCTCTAGGTTCAAATCCTAGCACTGCCACTTGCTAGCTGTGCAATCCAGGGCAAGTCATTGAACTTCTCTGAGCCTCAGTTTCTGAGGAGGTGATAAATATAGTCTGAATTCATAGGGCTTTGATGTCAAATTAATGTGTCTCTATTCCTAGAAATCAAAGTACTCAGAACAGTGTTCAGCACAGGGCAGGCTCGTCTGGCCTGAGCCCTTTACATGGGTTTGCTTTACCAACTCTTATAGCAACTCTATGAGGCATTATTATTCTTCTACCCATTTTACAGCTAAGTAAACTGTAACCTCAGGAGAGAAAACCAATTTGCTTGAGTGTCCGAGCTGGTAAGATGTGACTGCACCATGCATATGGTGAACTGCGCAGCACACCCATCCAGGCCCCTCTGAGCACCTGCCCTGGCCCACACTGCAGCAAGCACCTGGCCAGGCCCTTGGTGGGATAGGAGTGGGGAGCACATTCCCTACCCGGTGAGGGCATGAATGAGTTTAGGACTGCTGGTGGGCCAGAGATCTCCCTCAACCCCACCTTCCTTCCTGGGGATTCCTGTCTCTTCTGCACCAACAAAGAGAAACAAAGAAGGCAGCAAAGTTGAGTTCCACCACGTGGGCTGCCTTCCAAAATTGCCGGTGAGCTCCGCCATGTGGGCTGCCTTCTGCAGTTGCTATGTGGCACCGAGCCGGGTTTGACCCCTCCCTCTCTCTCAGACTCCTCATTCTCCCCACTGTCTGTCACATTCTTTCCAGAGTTCCTGCCAGTTCAGACCCCAATGATCACGGCCCAGGCACCCGCTTATGTTTGAGGCATTGAGAGTTACACTTTCCAACTACTGTTACCCCAAAGCCAAGAGCCCCCAAACCTTTCTGTGCAGGTTTCCTCCCTGCAGAGGGTTGCCTCCAAGATTCACTGGGTTAGTGGACCGAGATCAAGTGTTTACAACAGTGCTTGGCACTCTAACAAAATAAAAATAAACAAAAGTTGCTACTTCCATTATACAGATGGGGAAAACCAAGGTTGAGCTCAAAGGACGTGAACCCTGGAAGGGCTTCCAGCTTTCGCCTTTTTTCCTATTCACCTGCCGATCCTTCTCTGGGGATGGAGTTGGCAGTGAGAAGGAAAATGACAAGGAGTGGAGGACGAAGGAGTTGAAGGAGCCTCTAATAGTTGGCTCTGAGCATTATTAAACAAGGTAACGGAGGTCAAGCCCTCAGCACAGCGCCTGAGCACACAGAAGTCGGCTCTTAGCATTGTTCTCCTTTGAAAAGCAGCCAGGCAGGACCCACAATGCCTCGGAAGAGCTCATCTTCACGGACTAAAGAGCCGTAGTCATGGTGCCCATTACCTGCACTAGCTCAAGCACCTGACCATTCAGGTCTATGTTCTCAGGACCTGGCCCATTGCCTGGCACGTAGCAGGTGCTAGATAAGACATATTGAATGACCACATTATTTTTGTTTGTGATATGCTCAAATTGGAGCTAAGCCATTCACTCCAGCCAAACCCTCCAGGGTGGCATCTGGACTTTCAAGATTCAACCCACCATCCCTGACTCAACCCCACCTAGCTGTACCTGGACCATCCTGGGCCACAGGTGCCAGGCCCCACCAAAGCCCTGATTCCCAAGCTGCCTACTCACACTACACCAGGCATCCGGCAGGATTCTGAAGTCCAGAAGAAATCTTTCACCATGCGCACGGGCACGGGGTAACGAATATGGCTCCGGCAGCAGATGCTGTCCTCCACATTGGCTCCGTAAGGGCCTGGGGAGAGGGGGATGGTGAGGACCCACAAAGTAGGGTACAGGGGTCATCCTCAGGCCCAACTCCAGCCCCGACCTCCTCCTTCTCCAGGGAGAAGACAACTTTTCTGTTTTCCTCTGGACAGTTGGTATCTGGAAGATTTGGGGTCCTCAAAGATCTTACCCGCAGGCCCTCTGTGAAACCACTAAAGGACCAATGTCATTACTCCAAGATGGTCAACTCAAGAGCATGAGACTCATTCCAACTGATATCAATGGTGCTCTGAGCTTCTAGATGAGATTCCAAGCCTGTGGGCTGGATGGAGCTTCCCAACCTCACTATTCAAAGGGTGTCCCTGGTACCAGCATCATCAGTACCACCTCCTTCACTCTGCAGATGGGTGGGAGGCTGGACTGAGTCCAGCGAGGGAAGGACAGACTCAAGGTCACAAGGCCATGGCAGAGCCAACACCAGGGTTCAGATGACTTGTGGTCACACAGTTGATGGTCTGAGTCTTGCTTGGCCTGAAGTAACTGGGCCACAAGGGCAAGTTAAACAATATCTGTAAAGCCCAACTTTCTCTCTCGGAACAAGGAGATAATCAGAGCTCTCCCACTTTATGAAATCCTTAATGCAGGGAAGACTTTCAGGAAACCCAATAACTGTGAGCAATTATTATTGAGGTTTACCTGACTCCCAGTCCGGTGTTCTTCCCCTTACCCAGGCCGGGGCAGGAGAGCTTGTATCAGGTAAAGAGAAGTTAGGAACCCAGTGGTGAATGTAGGTTCTGGAGCAAAGATGGCGTGAAGGGAGCAGGCCCAGCCTTCCAATGGAAAAGCCTGTTTCCTAACTCCTGCCTTTCCCCATTCCAGTCAGCCCAGCCTTCTGGTTCACCTTCCACACCTCAACACTCCTACACTCTAGTTCTCTGAGGTAGAGGTTCCCCGGGTCCTAGCTACCACAGCCCTCGAATTCAGCTGGAGTAATTGCTAGAATTCAAATCTCAAGGTCACCCATTTAGCAGATGTCTGAACTAAACCCCAAAGAAGAAATGTTAAGTGAGTCTAAGACCACCACAGGCCGAATGGAGTCTTCCGCTCTCAGTCCACGATCTGTGGACCACGTGAGGGGAAAGCCCAGCGTCTGACCCTCTTCCCAGCCTCACCTGCATCAGTGCCCTGAAGTGCCACCGCCAGCAGGATGAGAACGGCCAAGAGTGGAGCCTGCAGGTTGGCCATGCTCCTGTCCTGAATGCCCCAGCCCAGATGTCTGCAGTCACTGGAGGTCAGCAAGGTCCACTATATAAGGACTAGCTCCACCCACAAGTATCAGACACTCTTAGTCACCGGTGAGCCCAGAATCTCTGACATTCAAATTTGAAAGGAGAACTCTCGCTTCCTCCAAACTAGAGGAAATTCTCTGTGGCCAGGAGCCCACTCAGAGGGGACCCTCCCCAAGCCTAGCCTCTTCAACGAAACTCTATGAACTTACAAAAATTCCCTCCCAGCTGAGTTCCCGGGGGACCCATGATCCCCAGGGTCTGGATCAAGGTGTGGTTTTGGCTACACTGGTTTTGGCATGTCTCTGGGACTCACTTTATCTACTTGGAAATCAGAGAGCTAGATGGTCTCCCCAGCAAACCTATTTATCTCAGGAATTGTTTGCAAATCAAATGAAGGTGTGGATAGAGGTTGCCAGCTGTACATCTTCACCTGAAATTGACGCCAGCTTATACCTTCAGAGGGGCAGGCGCCTGAACCCCTCAGCTTTCTCTCTCTGTCTCATCATCACCAGCCTCTTGTGGGGTTTCTCACAGCTTCTCAAATAGAGTAGCTGATGTTCCACTCAGTAGTTTGCAAAGATCTTCCATGTGTATTCTTGTATTCCATTCATCCTCCTTCCTTTCCAGCTGCCACTGGGCTCCCCTTCACATCCCCCTTCTAAATCTATAACTATCTCTACGATTCTCCTTCTTGAAAACTTGATGGCTCTCTCCCCTTATCACCATCCTCACTGCTTCCACCCAGCCAAGCCGTGTCCATCCCAGGTTGGATGCCGGTCCCTCCCATCCCCTCTCCACCTGCTGCAGTCGGAGCGAGATGTCCAGACTCAAAGCTGCACGTGTGTCTTTCCTGCTTCTCCAAAGCCTGCTGTGGCTCTCACTAAACAGAGCCCCAGATCCTGACTGTACCCTCAAAGTCCCCGTTCAAGACGCGCATCTGACTCCCCACACTACCACACAGAACACACAGTTCCTCAAAGAGCTTGGCTGGTCTGTTCATGGCGACAAATGTCTTTTCCAATCCTTTACCACATAAACTCCTACTCATGCATCAAGACCCACTTGAAAGGCCACGTCCATGGCAAGCACGTCCCTTCTGGACGTCAAACTCTCTCTTTGGGCTACCTGGAAAGGAGCCCTGAATAGACCACACTGAGTTCCTCTTTTCTAAGTCACCACACACAAGCTCCACTCCAAGTTCCTGGTCAGTGAAGACCTGTAAACAGCAGTAGGACATTATCTGATACAGTGCCACGAGATAAGTCCCTTAAATTAGAAGACATTCGAGATACATCTGAGGAAGAGCTGTCACCGTAACGACATGGACAGAGTGAAGCTTCCGAGACCTTCATTTGCTGATGTGACAAGCTCAAAGTGAGACGAAACAGCCGCAGACATTCAAGAGTAACTGGAACGTGGAATGTGCGAATTATGGCTTTAGAAAAACAGGAAGTCAACAAAAATGACATGGAATGCTTGAAGGCAGATATCCTAGGCATTGCTGTTGTTGTTATGTGCCGTTGATTTGGAACCGACTCACAGCTGACTCATCAGTCATTTTTCAGAGGCTGTAAATCACACGGGAAGGGACTTCATATTCTCCTCCCACAGAGCAGCTAGTGAATTCCAAGCCGTCAGCGAGCCGAAACGGACTGCTGTTGGCCATTTTTAAATCTGATTATCATATGGTTTATTATGCAAGGAGTGACAAATTGAGGAGGAATGGTGTCACAATCATGGTCAAAAGGAGTATTTAAAAATCTATCCTAAAGTACGCTATGTATTATTATTTCAGTGACAAGATAAAATTCACATACCTATAGTTAGGGAGCTCTGGTGACCTAGTGGCAAGAAGCTGTGCTGCAATCCCAAAGACACTGGGTTCGAGGCCACCAGCTGCTCTGTGGGAGAAGGATGGGCAATCTCCTCTCATGCGATTAACTGCCTCTGAAAACCCATCAGAGGGTTTGCTTTGGGACAACAACAATAAAATCAGTTAACATGATTATAATTTAAATTTATTTATCAACCACTAACCCAAAGATTACAATATTGAAAATTGATCAAATATGCAGTCAAGATGTTGTTTTTGTTGTTGTTAAATGAAGTAAAAATACCTTAATAATAATAATAACAAGGAAACATTGGTCAGTAACGAGCAACACCACTAACTCCAAAATGCATTTGTAATGTGAAAATTGGAAACAAAGAAGAAGCACCGGGACTTGTAAAATGTGGCCTTGAAAACAGAAAATATGTCAAAGATCACATGGTAGAATTTTGCAAGACTAGTGAAATAGTATTTTTCAACAACTTAATTTGTTGTTATGTGCCATCAAGTTAGAACTGACTCATAGTCTGGTTGGAACTGACTCATAATTGACACGCCGGTGAGTTTTCAGTGGCTGTAAAAGGCATGAGGAGTAGTTGGTGGATTCAAACCACATGCCTTTGGGTTGGCAGTGCAGCTTCTTACCACTAGGCCCCCAGAGACTATATACACATGGACCTCACCATATGGAATACACAGGAATCGAATGGACTACATCTATGAAAAGAGACAATGGGGATAAGCTTTCACTCAAATCACAATAAAAACCTGAAGACAGAGAAAGGTAATAGAAAAGCTCAGTGTTATCAGTGAGAACAGGGCCAAGGACCAACTGTGGGATAGACGTGAACTGAAGAAAATAACAATAAGCCCATCAAAACCCAGATCCAAGTTGAGTCTATCCCTTCTGAGTTTCGAGATCTTCTTAACACTCAACTAGAAGCATCAAACACTAATAACTGAACATCAGATAAGTTGTAGGGCATCAGCAAGGACACATCATGTATGGAGAAAGCATAATGTCATTAAAAAGGCTACTGGTGCAACCACTGTGGAAGGCGGTATGGCGCTTTCTCAAAAAGTTGAAAATAGAGATACCATTTGACCCAGCAATTCCACTACTGGGAATATATCCCAAAGAGACCATAACTGACATCCAAGCAGATATATGCACACCCATGTTTATCACAGCTCTGTTCACAATAGCAAGGAGT